TTCAGGACCAACATAAATATGTATATTGCTGCATTTCTAATTTTGTACTGGTTTTTTTTTCCCAACCATCTCCTTCCTTTCAGATGCAAGTGATCTGGGTGGCTATAGATAGCTTCCCAGTCACTTATATGCCACAATAAGGGTGCTGCAATTCATAACGAATGTTCGTAAAGTTACGAAAATGTGCCGGATATGGATATTACGAAACGGAACGAAACAAATTTTTTGACGGCGCACAAGTCTACTTTCAGATGCAAGTGATCTGGGTGGCTATAGATATCTTCCAAGTCACTTATATGCCACAATAAGGGTGCTGCACCCCCTCTGCCACCACTGCTGCCTGGGGCCAGCACGGTGGGTGTCTGCTGCTGCACTGGAAGGAGATAAGCACACTTCCAGTGGCTGATCTCCCCTCCAATTACCGAATCCAGATGTGAAGAGGGTTTTTTTCTTTCCAGTTTCAGGCTGTCATTTCTCAATAGATGGCATTAGGGGTCTAAAATACAAAGCAGAAATGTGCGGTCAGGGGAGGCAGGGCCTCAACTAGTATTATGGAGGAAAAAGCTGTCAGCTTCAAGTCTGAAGCTGACAGCTTTTTCTTCATTCAGAGCAGCTTGTAACAGGTAATTCTGTCATGGATGGAGCGCTGCCTGTTAATTACAGGCACGCGGCATCCAACTTTGACAGCTAAGTAAGGTTAAACAGCAACGTGCTTACCAACTGGTTGTGTAACCTAACATAGTGAGGCAAGAGTTGCAATAGCCTCTACTCTATGTTAGAGGCTTGAGCTCTATGGATAGTTTGGACCAATGACAAAGTGAGGGACAAGCAACGACGAGCAAGTGAGGGACAGGGAGGCTCCTCCCTGTCTCCTCCCTTCCTCTTCCCTCCCTCCTGCACATTAGTTTAGTGACCAGATTGAGGGGGTGGGGCTTCATTGGGATGGGGAAGGGGCATGCTGGGGAATGCCTCACCCAGCACAGATGGTACAGCACGTCACTGCTAAAAAAGGGGACCTGTTAATTCAATGTTTGTTATCCCCATATGTGATAGCAAAGGAGTTTGCATGCCCTCCAGGTACTCCGGTTTGCTCTCATACTCCAAAGATATGCGGTTAAGTGGCTCATGTATAAATTGTAATCTACTAGAGGGCAAGGACTGATGTGAATGTAAAGCGCTGCGTGAAATTGTCAGCACTATATAAAATACCTATGATAAAATTAAAAAAAGTGTAAGGAAAAGTTAAAAAAATTAAAGAGACATACGGTATAAAAAATAAAAACCCACACAACATTTTTTAATGCCCTCCAACCCAGCGTGCATGCACTTACAAACACAGACAAGCATTTGGCGTTCCTATGTGTGACAACAACTATTGTGAGTATATATATACAACTATACGGTCTTTTTATGCCACTTCACGGGTGCACGCAAACACGTTTGGTATCTGTTTACTCAATGCAATACCATTGTTTATATTTTACCAAAAATTGGGTATTGTGTTTGTGTGTGCTAAAATTCACTTCATAAATATTTAAACAAAAATATTGTGAAACATATAAAAAATTTCAACTATTATTTTTTATTCTGCAGTTCCTTTGCTTTCAGTAAATATATAATTGTTTGGGGGTTTTGAACAGTTTTCAGCCAAAAATACAGATTTTTACATGTTTGCAAAAAATGAAAAAGTGGATAAACATAGAGGAGATAAATAACACACCTTTACCCCAAATATAGTACCCTCCACAAGAATTAGTCTATTCAATTCCGTTGTATAGAATAATAAGAACCAGGATCTGTCAATAGAAGAAAACTACAATTCTCAATGGAGCACAAGTGCGGTGACGTCACTGCACTTGTAGTCCATTGATTACTACCCCCAGCTACGTAAGTGAAGTACGGACCTAAGGCTGGTGGAGTAGTCTGCAGTCTTCAGTCTTCTGATCGCAGCTGCAATGCTTTGCCATCTTCAATGCAATAATTTGATAAATGCATTATTTTTTTCTTCTTGCAACAAGGATGCATTTATTTAATTATTTATTTATGTTTACAAAAAGTGAAATATGCCTAAACTATATGTTCTCTCCTAATAAAATGCCATGGGGTACTTTTTCCTAATCTGAGTGCAATATTTAAAATTGAGGATATTCCTGTTGCACTATACACCTGCTTCTTAAAAAGAACATGCCTTCATAGCAGGTGGATTGTTTAATGTCAGCAATGTCAGCAGTGTAATCCTCCCTGAGGGTGTCAGTTTTTAGGGCAGATATGCATTCAGATCGGGATTGGGGATGGGCAGGTTTACAGCTGGGAAATAGACTGAAGTTACAAAGGGCACACAAGCGTAACTACAGGGAGAGGCAAAGAAAAAAAAGTCAGTGTAAACTGGAGTGGGAGGGTAGACATCCAATACTATTATCACACACAGTGCCTGGGTTGTCACAGACTATATTACATAGGGACACATTAGAGTGATAACAAAAAGTCACAGAGGACATCAAGCTGTGTCACTGAGCTCAGAGAGGACAGTTCTTTGCCTTGTGGCTGGAAGCTATCTAACCCTGCACTCCTGTAGAATAGGACAAAGTCCTGTACCTGCCACCTGATTCATTCACCATCATCACTCTGGGCTGTGACAGCCGGTGGACAACATCAAAAGGACACTCTATGACCCCTCTGCATTCCTTTCCCCACTCATTAAGCCGTTTTGGAAATTAGCCATACAACTAAAGGTACCGTCAACACAAACGACCAGGTAAGAAAATCATTTTTAGGTATGCTAGCAAAGGTTCTCCACTGTGACTTCTTTGATACTGTAAAATCATAAAATGGATTGTAAGCTCGCATGAGCAGGGTCCTTCTAATCCTTTTGAATGGTATTGTTCTGTAATTGTATTATCTCCCCTTATTTTGTAAAATGTTGTGCAAACTGTTGGCTATATATAAATCCTGTATAATAATAATAATAATAATAATAATAGAGGTTTCTTATGGCTG